ATAACGAGCGCTCTCCAGAGGAAGAAAGCTAGGAGCACTTTGAACTTGAAAACCAGGTTCTTGTAGAACTACACTTGGAGCATCCCCCACCCCACCCCTTTTCCTTCTCTCTCTCTCTCCTTTTTCGCCAGTTCCGCACCAACATGAACAGCCCGGCAAAGGCTGGGACTGCTGGTGATACGAAGGCCCCAGGTAACGTTAAAGTGCAGTCTTTACCAACTATCCAGGTGTGATCTCTCTCTTTGTCATTTGGTTTTGCTTTTTGACACCCTCACTGTGCTACAGAACTAAAAACTCAAAGCTACCCAGAGTGGTTTCTTGCTGGAGGATCCTGACGCCTGCTAACCTGTGCACCTGCACAGGTGTGTGTCACTAGCCATTGAGCACATAGAATCGAGTGTCTACTGACATCATCAGTTTGGAAATACTTTATAACCTGGCTGGCCTTTGAGTCAGAGCCTCCTGACGTTGACCTTGGCCGGGCCTGATCTCAGATGCATGGAAATCCACCAGCCTGTCCACGGGTGAGGCAGGAAAATCCTCACTTTTAGAAGGCTCCTGCTCAGAGAGGGCACTCCCTCTCACAAAAGGAACTCGGGACTCATGGGCCTGGTGGATCCAGATCTCCTGCCTCTGTTTCCTTGTGTCCCTTTTATTTTTCCATCCAGGCAGCATCACACACAGCCTGCTGGGACCACTCAGTCCTCAGATGCAGGCCTGAACCGGAACTGGCCATTATACTCATATTTACAAAGAATTGATAATGTCATGGGGAAATGTTCCCAATGCAATGTTAAGCGAAAAAAAACAGGACACAAAACTATATGTGAGTATGATATCAATCATGTAAAATGCATATAGGGATTTTTTTTAAGCATACAAGACATGTACCAAAAATGTTAACCGTTATCTCTGGGTAGTACAATTATGGGTGGTTTTTATCATCCTTTTTATGCTTTCCCATATTTTGCAACTTTTCTACAATGACCGTATGTTATTTTTATAATTGGGAAAAAATCTAGTGTGTTTTAAATAAGGAGTAATTATAAATTCCTGAGCCTGTAACCATAGCCATGTATTGCTTCTGGTCCTTTGAGATTTTTGTACACAAAGTGGCATACAGTTCTTTTTTTCAATAGATATGAATTAATAAAATCCCAGAATACTTTTAACAAGTGACTCGTTTCAGATTTTGTCTGCCTTGCTTTTCGTATGCTGTGTCCATATTTATGCTTAGCTTTTTGGCCCTTTGTTAAAATTCATATTTATCTAGTGCTTTTCAATGTTCAAAGCACTTTGACGTTCACACTCTCATCTGACTCTCCCTACAACGCTGTTTGGTAGACGTGGTCCCCATCTCACTAACGTTCAGAAAAGAAGGGAAGGGAAGGGGTCCCCACCTGTAGGGAGCTTCCAGGTGTGATGGGAGAAGACACCTTAGTGTCATAATATGCTGAAAGCAGAAGGGCCCTTGGGAGCAGTCTAGTGCCGTGTGGACCAGAGAGGAGGTGACCTGCAGGAAGTGATGGGGAGCCTCGGCTGGCATCCAGACCACTTGGCAATTGGGTTGATTGGTACAGTGGTTTCTCTGTAATGTAGACCAGTTCTTTTCACCCCCAAACACGGACTCTGAGTGTAGATAACTCTTCCATGGAAAATACGTTAACATAGATAACATTTTAATGGAAATGCTTTCCATAAAAAAGTGAATATGTCTGACAGGTTTTGCAAATCTCTGTCATGTGTGGCTCAAGAGTAGACAGCTGACTTCTCATCCCTGCTTCTGCATTCAGTCTGCCGCACTGTCTCACACCACAGAGCCCCCCTGAGAAACGCCAGAGAGAATGAGCGTGAAAAAGGAGGCACATAAGATCTTGCTATATTGTTAATATACTTTTGAGCTCATGGATCCCTTGAAAAGGGGGTCTCAGGGGCCCTCAGAGATCCCCTGACCACACAGAGAACTACTGCAAGGATATTCCAGTTCCCCCAAAGAACTAAAACAGGGTCAAGACCAGGAGAGTCCTAGTGAAAAAATGCAGAGCACATCTCCAAACCCACCTAATTTTACACAAATATCATCCATTTTTTAAATTGCCACATTGAGAGGTCCACTGGTGGATGGAGACAGCCAACAGACCTGTGACCTCTCTACTCCCCTCGAGTGACAGCTTCTTATTCATGCCTGTCCCCCTTTTCCCACAGACAGCAGGAGGGTGGGGGGCTGGCTCCCACAAGCCTCCCCAGGATGAGGGTCTGAAAAGAGTACCCAGCTCTTTGCAGAAGCACACAGGTGCACTCCGGGGTGTCCCTGACCCATGTTTATGAGCAGGAGACACATTCTGCCTCCCTGGGGCCTCCTCTCAAATATTGACTGGAGCTGATAAAGTCCTGGTGACAAAGTGACTGGGGCGAAACCCCCTGAATGTCCAATTTGCAATGGACTGAAAGTTTGCATCCCCCCAAAATTCATATATTGATATCTAATCTCCATAGTGATGGTATTTAAAGTTGGGGCCATTTTGGAGGTGATTAGTAATGAAGGTGGGGCCCTCATGAATGGGATTAGTGCCCTTATAAAAGAGACCCCTGAGAGCTCTCTCGCCCTCTTTCTGCCATGTGAGGACACGAGAAGAAGATAGCAGTCTGCAACTTGGATATGGCCTTCACCAGAACCCAACCATGCTGGCACCCAGTCTCAGACTTCCAGCTTCCAGAAGTGGGAGAAGAAATTTCTGTTGCTTATAAGCCGCCAAGTCCATGGCATTTTGCTACAGCAGCCTGAACTAAGACACAGGTATGTAAGGAGAGTAAGGCTGTGACCAAACTTAGGTGTAAACCAGTACCTACCCACAGGCAACCTGACAACACAAGTACAGCTTTTAGTTTTTGCAAAGACTCTCAGAGATGGACTAATGACTCTCTGGGCTGAAAGGGTCCTGAGGCCTGGGCTCTTGGTCCAGTTAGGCCACTAATTTGTATGACGCTGAATAAGTTCCTTATCCTGTTGAGATCTTAGTTTCTGCCCTTTGTAAAATGGGAGGAGCTGAGCGGCCCCATATCACTAAGGTCCCTGAGACACAAATGTGCAGGGATGGGGCCTGTGATGCTGAGCATAGATGTGAATGATGACATTTCTTGGCCCCAAACCTCGCCTTTGGAGCCAGGCTACCTGGGTTTGAGTCCTGGCCTGACACTTCTTGCTCTATGCCCTGGATCAGGTATTTAACTTCCCTGAGTGTCAGCTACTCTGTGTGTAAATTGAGAAATAAATTATTTAATACAATTCACAAGCCTGGCCCACGGGTATTCAGTAAATGTTGACTTTTGTTTAATAAACAAGGAAACAGACTCAAAACAGAAATTGACTTGCCCAGAGTCACAGAGCCAGTTTGTGACAGAATCAATACTATAGTTTCCAGATTCAGAACCCAGGACTCCTTCTTCTACCCAAAAATAAAATGAGAACAACACAATTCCTCTCCCTTGCCCCACCCAGCTCATGCCAGACAGACAGTTAAAGTGATAGCTGGTTGAGTGTTCACTGTGCTAGATATTAATTCACCTAGTTTCAAGGAATCTTCACACAGCTCTAGAAGGCAGAGACTACTGTTATTCCTCTTTTAGAGAAGAAGAAACTTAGACTTTGCAAGACTAACCTGCCCTGGTCACACATTTAGGAAGTGCTGGAAGTGAGTGCCAAACCCAACCCAATTCCAGAGCTGTGCTCTTAGTTACTGCATGTCCTCTCCCACGGCAAGAAGATTTGGTGTCAATTGTATTATAATTCCATTAAGCAAAAGAGTGGAAAAGAGATCAATGAAAACTACTGTTTTACCATGTTTAGCTGAGAAATGCTGCTGTGTAAGATTGAACTCTTAAGAACAAAGTATTTTGAGTAAAATAGAAAGATATGAATAAAATCTTTACGATGTTTTCAGAATGATGGACATGATTGTTTCAGAAAAAAATGGCATCAACTGTAACTTGAAAGAAGCAATCTTTTATAAACACAAAATGGCCCTCTTCTTTGATGGATATATACCCCTTTATACATATTATCCAAACAGCAGTTCCAAAGAGGGGACCCACAGAAATTTTTATTTGCAACTCAAAACCACAGAATTTCATTAGTTCATTGGCTGAATATCACACACGGAGAGAAATTGCGCTGTGACTTCCCTGGCTGGTGCCTAGAAAATTAATGTGATTCCTGTTCCCCTACATTTGCAAAAGCACAGATTGAAAAAAAAAAAAGATCAAGACACACACACACACTCTCTTAAATGCTCAAGTGGAATGTAAGTTCCTAGGAAGCATGAATTTTTGCTTTGTTTATGGTGAATCCCCAATGCCTAGAACTGTACCAGGTGCAGAAGAGGCCCTCACTATTTGTTGAACAAATTAAAATAAGATCTTGTTTGGAGACGAGTCCACCTTGTTTACAGTTAAAAAGTGTTTCAAAGTAATATGCATTTTGTTTTGCCCATCTTACTGAGTATTAAGGCAAATATGCCTTTATTTTTTCATGGCGGCATACATGTGTTGCTAGAAATATGTCTTTTTAAGGCAGCCATTAAGAACACGTTTACTACTCTGAACAACTGTGCAGTTAATTCATCCAACTTTATCGTGTACTTTTAGACAAAGGCTGATAATATCAGGCATTTTCAGCAGGCAGAAACCTTACGAATCACCTCCCCAGCCTGACTCACCCCTACTTCAATGTCCTGTCTTCATAGATGAGGAAACTAAGGCCCAGGGAGTGGAGGGGACTCACCTACCGTTCCTCAGCAGTCACTAGGGAAGTTGACCCTAAGGTCTGCGCGCTTTGTCAGCCAAGACCATTCCTAGGGAATGTATCCAATCCCCTCTTCTCCAATCTGTCCCCATCAGACTCTTTCTAGATCACAATCTAACCTTGTCACTCTTCTATGTCATCGACAGCTTGCCAGTGACCGAAGAATAAAACAACCTTAGAGAAATACAGATCCAAGAAGGAACTACGAAGATATTTACTGAAGGACTGTTACTAATAGCATAAAATTATAACCAACTAAAAAGTCCAACACCTTGGGAACGGGTGACAGGTGACGTAAACGCTGGTAACTCCGTGTCGTGCAGCAATTTAAAGAGTCAGGCGGATGGATCTTCATCTCTTGTCACGGACACCCTTCAAGACATACCAAGTGAAAAAAAGCAAGTTGAAGGGCAATGCATATAAACTGATACCTTTTGTTTTGCTGGGCAGAGATGCCCGGGAGGTCAGCCCGCCCACCCCCGCGTACACCCTTCGGAACGCACTGACTGTGCGTGAGGTCGGGGTTCCCGGGCGGCGGGTCCAGGCTTGACCCTCTCAGCAGAGACAGCCAAGGCTCCTCGGGCCCTCCCGGCCTCCGGGGCTGCCTCACTCGTCACCCGGCCCCCTCCCCAGCCACGACCGTCACCCAGGAAAGCCATCCTGGCAGGTGGGAGCCAGCTCGGCCCGCCGCTCCACGGTCACCCCTAGAGCGAGGGGGTGGGACGGGAGGACAGGGGAGCCTTTCGCCGTTGCCTTTCCCGGTTGTCGAGGAAACCGGGGAACAGCCAATGTCATTCGAGGAGGTGGGGATAGAATGGCGAGGGAGGAGCTGGGCTGCAGCCGCCCCGGACCCGCCCCCAGCCTCTGATTGGCTAAGGCGCAGGCCTCGGGCCACGCCCCGCGCGCCCAGACTGGAGGACGGTCTCTCTTGCCGCCTCCTGGAAGCCTCCCAGGGCGCCCCTGTCCAATGACATACCTGTCTCCAGGCATATGTGGTTTGACCCCAGTCCACCTCTTTGATCTCAGCTTGTACAAATTCTCTTATTTTTCAGCCACACTAGCCTTTTCTCTGTTCACGAAAAATGAGATTGTTTTCCCCAGATACTCACATGACTGCCGTCTTCTTGTTCACCTTTTTCTCGGCTTAAGTGTCAGCCCATCAGAAAGGCCTGTCCCACCACTGGTCTCAAGCGGCCTCCCGCCAGTCCTGACACTTGCCCTCGCATCACCCTATTTCCCTCGGGGCGCTTTCCACCCTCCGGAACAGCTTTGTTGTTTCTGTGTACTCTCTGCCTCTGGGTTGGGCTCCACAAGGACAGAGAACTCTGCCTTATTCTCTAATATCAGCGCCTAGCATAGGCCCTGGCACCGTAAGTAGGAGCCGGGGCCTAAATATTTGCTATGTTAATGAATAAATGAATGACCTCACACACACACCCCCATGCCACAGGCCTGGCATGTGACAGCTGTGGCTATACCTTTGCTGACTCACTGAAGCATGGCTCCTCCGGTGCAGGGGGCCCAGCTGGAGGCATTCAGGTCTGCACTGGCTCCCTCACAGGGGAACCTAACAACCCGGCCACTGTTGGGTGAACAAGCAAATCCTCCCAGCTTCAAGGGCATCAGTGAGAGTCTTCCTGATTTTTACATTGTTAAAAAAGGGCTTGTCAAAATTCATGAATGAATTTTCAAGTGAAAAACGCTTGGAGGCAACAGATCCTGGTTTCAGGATCTGAAAGCCCGAGATTTAATTAAGCATCGGTCATTCATTAAAGCATGGGTAATTCATTAGCTGTAGCTCTAGCAAGTCAGGTCATGTTTCTGTGGCCCAGTTTCCTCGTTTGAGACCCTCTTTGTAAAATGCATTGTAACACGTAAAGCTCTGCTGGGGATAGGAGAGCTCTGTGTAAGAGCTGGAGCCTGCCTTGCCTCGCTGACTCTGCCCCAAATTGCCCAACATCCCTGCTGCTTGCCAGGCCTCAGTCTTCCCATCTGAACAATGCGGACATTGGATGAGCTCATGGGGAGATGTGGGTGGGGCTCTGTTCCTGGACACTCTGCTTTGGTCAAAGGAACTCTCCCTCCAATTTCTACTTGATCACAATTCTCAGTAAGGTTTTGACAAAGGGTTCTGGAATAAAAACAGTTATATATAGAGAGAGGACACAAACACTGGGCTAGTGGATCAGTGTCTGGGTCCACAGGCTGGCTCTAAGATGGGTGATGAGTCAGGACACATTCCTGTCTAAGGGTCAGCAGATCTGCCAATGGCTTAAACAAATAAGGGCTTATTTTTCTCATTAATGGGAAATGTAGAGTCAGTTGGCTGCTGGTTTTGCTGTGGGGCTCCCCAGGGTTGGCACTAGTATCTCCACGCTTCTCCCGACCTTTCCTCATGGTCTCCAGAGGCTGCCACAGCTCCAAACACCTCAGCCATTGTCCTGGCAGGAAGAACAGGAGTAAGGGATAGCACTAGTGGTGAAAGTCTTTTCCAAAACCCCCCAACCAGCTTCTGCTTTTGCCTCCTTGGCCAGAAGTGGGTCACATAGCCCCCCTCTATCTGCAAGAAAGGCTGGAAACAAATCTAATTCATGTAGCTTCCATGGTGGGGGTGGGCAAGGGAGACCCCAGGGGCGGGGCGTGGCTGTTAGGCCAGGCAGCCAACAGTGGCGCCTGCCTCCTTCACCTCAGGCACTGTGTGCAGCTGGCCAGCCAGGCAGGAGCGTGGAGTCCGGGGCTGTACGGGGGCGTCAGCTCTGCACAGACAGGTGTATCCCCAACGCTGTAATCGAGTACAGGAAGTACCCTCAGATACAGGGTGGTTAGGAGACCCACAAACCAAATCGGCTCACAATACTGATTTCAGACCTTCCTTTAACTCTTCTGCAATTGGGCAGCTGTGTCGCTGATTGCGGTTCCTCAGTATGAAAGACCTTCGTGGCATTCATCAGGGACCTGAGGTTAGCAATCCCCTTTCAGACTTCGAGGCAAAGAATAGAATTCAAGTCACCACAGGAAACAGACTTCCTAAGATAAAGGTCTGATTTCGAAAACTTAAGCTCAGCCTTCAAATCTCACACTGAGTCAGTATGAACAAGTTAACTCTATGCCTCAGTTTCTCCATATAGCATCTCTCCTTGCTACTAAATGGTGGGCATAGTGGTTTTAGGGATGTATGCTGTAGAGTTAGCCTGCTTGGGTCTGAATCCTTCCCGTGAGGTCCCTCCAAGCTTCGGTTTCCCCACCTGTAAAATGGGAGGAACAGTCTGTATTATAACTCGTTATTAGCACTCGACAAATGTCAGTGGTTGTCACAATCATCGAGATGACCGACAGTACACCTGTCTTGCTTGGTTCTGATTTGAGATTGTAACCCTCGTAGGGACCCATACCCAATTCCTCACTGTTCTGGAAACAGACTGGGCTCTTTGAGACCCCTCGCAGCCGTGCCCCTGCCTGGAATGTGCCCTCTCTTCCCACCAAGCAAACATCGCTTTCTCCATCAAGCTCGCGCTCGGGCAGTCCCACTCCCAGCCCGCCCCCCAGTCAGCCCCCTCCTCCAGCCAAGCAGCCATGGCCTGTGAGTTCCAGCTCTGCCGGGCGGGCGGCAGCGTGGGAAATGACTGGGAGTCGGAGCAGAAAGTAGAACGCAGCACAAGGTTGCCTGAGCATCTCACAGGACCCAAGGGCCTCAGAAACCACCTGGAGCGGAGGAAGGGAGAGCTGCAGGGGTCACAGGGAGTCCTCTCATCTCTCTTTGTTTTGATGCATTGGCTTCCACTTTTCCTCTTGCTATAGGAGGCGTCTGGCTTTCTGTTTCCCACCCACAGTACAATGGCTGTCATTCACGCTCCAAAGCCTGCGTCTCCCCTCTTCAAGAGAGCAGCCAGGTGGAACTGAAATCTCCGTGTTCCAAGTCCAGATTCCTCAGGAGAGGGGCTCACTGGCCCAGCTTTCATGAGCTGCTCCCTCCTGGCCCAGCCAGCGGGGGCAGGGAGCCAGCAGAGGGGCCAGGTAGTGCCAATGCGGTGTCCCGCTGAATCGTGTGGAGGGGGAGGGACAGTCCTGGAAGGGGACTTACACAGTGGACTGCAGGGGTTTGAATAGAAGCAGGAAGTCACTCCGTTGCCTATTTAGAGCTCTGCTTCACATTCAGAAGCAATGTCCTCACATTCTCTGGTCCCAACAGGGTCACCACTGGCTTTCCTTCCACATATATTAGGTCCTTCAGGGGGAAGTTACAGAGACAAACTTCTGGAATCTTAAGCAAGAACAGCATGATATTGGTGCATCTCATAGAAAGAGGTGGTTGTTGAGCCCCGTGTGGGAGGACCCAGGGCAGCCTTGGGGACCACAGCCACAGGAATCTGTGACCCTCCTCTCTGGAGCCCTCTAATCACTCCCAGCCTCTGTTTCAGTTTCAAAATCCTGAGTCCCAGGAGGCGGACCCTGGACCGCCCAGCTGGGTCAACGAGCAGTGGCCAGGGAGGGCAGGTCACATCACACAGACATGGTCACGGAGCCCTCTTGTGTATATTCGCATGTGGTTCTCAGAGAAGAAATTCTTGGGGGCTGGGAAGTTAGCTCAAGCCACAGGGAGAAGAGCCCTGAACTTGGGGCCAGGAGTCCAGCTTCGTCTGAAACTCTAGGGTGACCTTGGGCAAGAAGTTTCCTTCCCCACTCCTCTCTGAACCTCTATGTCTTAGCCAGCCCCAGCTGCTATGACAAAATACCAGAGACTGAGTGGCTTAAACAATAAATATTTATTTCTCAATCAATAAATATTCATCAGATATTTAGTTCTGGAGGCTGGAAAGGCCAAGATGGAGGAGCCAGCAGGTTTGGTATCTGGTGAGGGCCGGCCTCCTGGTTCACAGATGGCACCTTCTCGCTGTGTCCTCACATGATGGAGGGAAGAAACAAGCTCCCAGGACTCTTATAAGTGCACTAACCCCATTCACGAGAGCTCCAGCCTCACGACCTCATCTAATCCTAATCACCTCCCAAAGACCCCACCTCCAAATACCATCACACTGGGGGCAGGGTTCCAACATATGGGTTTGGGGGACACAAACATTCACTCCACAACACCCTGTTTGGTCATCCATAAAATGGGAGCATTGGGCTGAATGACCACCGCGGTCCCAAGCACTCTCAGAGTCGGGCCATCTGTCCTTTCACACATTGGCTTTCTCTGGCATCCACCACCCAAGGTCTAAAGCTTTGGGATTTTCCCAGAAGAGTCTGAGGTTTTCAGAAGTGAGATTATCAGAGGATCTGCAACCATCATAGACTTAGCCCTCAGAGACCCACACATTCCACCACGTGGCACTGGCAGGTGACATTTATTCACAAACAGACCTCAAGGACTCTGAAATACTGAGGACTTCTCCATGGTATCAGGGGATTGTGAGGGGACAGTGTTTATAGCACCTTGAGCAACAGTCACCTGGCTTGTTACTGACATGTTAACCTCCCTGGTGACACAAAGCCATCCTCTCCGTAATTCTAACTGTCCCACTAACTTTGAGAGATGCTGACTCCCCCTCAGTAAAGAGTCTTTGCGCCTAATTGATATCTTCCTTTTAAATGCCATTCGTGATATAAGGCATGCAGTGAGAAGTGTTTTATAAAGAAATTGTCTTCTTTAAGGAGTTTAAGAAAGATATCAGGGGCTGAGAGCCATAATTCATACAAGGATTAAACCAAGCGACCCTGCACTCTGCAATGACTTCATTATGTAATTGGTAGAAACACAATAGGCATTAATGGGACTTTAGTATTCGCAGTACGACTAGGTCTAGCATTCTGCTACTTTCTTTTCTGGGCTTCGGTTTCCCCAACCATGCAATGGGTAAGTTGGACTAGATACTTTTCAAAGTCTGCATTCACAGCTTTAAGGTTATGCCTTCAAGACACACTCATTTTTTAGCACCATAGGCCAAGTTGAAAGAAATCAACTTGGAACCTTATAACATTGACTATAGGCTCACATGTAATAAATGGGGAGGTGTTTCACCATTTCTTCTCTGACCTCGCAGCTTTTCTTAGTCCTTGGGGCAGAGTACGTACCAGCAGAGAGCAGAGGTTAGGATATTTCTTTTCAAAGCACAGCCTAAGCTAAGCTGACTCTCTGGAGCACCCAAGCTGCTGGCCCCATGCCGTGAAACATGGCATCTGTGACTCCATGCTTTCCCAGCTTCCTCCAGCCCGTGGATGCTTCAACCAACCTGGTAGTGTCAGTGGTTCCCAGGGCCCAGGCCGGACGGGCTTCTCCATGCATTTCAACTCTCAAGCATTTCCGTGGCTTCTCCTCTGCCTCTCTGAAGATGTCTCCCAGC